AAATAGTGTCTCTTTTAGTGTTTTCGTCTGTCTCTTACTGAAGTGAGCAGTTGGCGTAAACACACTGGCTGCAGCAGGAACAATAATCATGTCAAGTCTTCCCTGACGTCCATAGAAAAATGATTTTGGCCGCATCACTGATGCGAGTAGAGAAAGAAACAAATCAATAGCAGACGAAAGGCTGGACAGAAAAGTGTGGCGAGATGGATATTTAGGTGGACTTTTGAGCCATGGTAAATAACCGTCTGTGGAGCGGCCTCTGTTGTTTTTGCTGGGGCTGACTCCTCTGTGGTAAACAAGGTCTGTCTCTTTATATCTATTTTTGTATAAGTGAAAATGTTCTCCCTCCACCATTTATTTGGCTTCCCGGTTATCTCTCACATCTCATTGATGTCAACACAGGAGGCCAAGATCAACATAATTTAAGTAAGCACTTGTTTCCGTTATAGCCTTACTAAAAAGAAAAAACGCCAAACATTTTTCATATTTCACAAATATGTTGGTGTCATTAACTTTAGTTTTGTGTTTGGTAATGTTACATGTTAAAAAGTCACTATTCAACATCCACATTTTAAGAAAGAGTGATTCTTCTTGTGTTCTTCCCCAATTTTATCTCTCTCCCTTCGTACTATTCCTGTGGCAGTTTCTCGTTTCCCCTCATATTACCCCCTCTCTCTCCTTAATGTGCTATCTGCGAGTAGAAAACAGAGCGATTATATGCCCAGCCATCAAACATTTAACATCATGTGGTGCTTTGGCGTGCAAAAGAGAAAAAGACTGAGGAAAAAAGACACAGAAAGAGGGATAGGGGAATGCTTACAAAAGAGACATGGGCAGACATGGGACAAACACAAGAGAGGAAAAGTAGACTGACATTGAAGAAGCCCTATAAAGAAAACATTTTTGAAACCTAGGAAAGAAGCAGTATGAGGCAGACAAAGAGAGCGTAAAAGAGACAGAGAGAGACAAAGAAAGAGAGAGAAGGCACCAGCTCAAACAGAAGAATCATTGTATGCGTGCCAGTAGGTCAGGAGTTCACCGCAAGGACGGAATTTATATCATTGATCACACAAGAGTTTGGAAAACTTGCCACATGGTTTGGATTGAAGTTGAAAATATCATCACCGTTTAAAACTCCAGGCAGCACAACATGAAAACAATATCCAGGCCATGAGCAGAAAGAGAGACAAGAAGTGCACAAGTGTGTGTGTGTGTGTGTGTGTGTGTGTGTGTGTGTGTGTGTGTGTGTGTGTGTGTGTGTGTGTGTGTGTGTGTGTGTGTGTGTAAAAAATATGTGCAAAATGATAATTGTGTTATGTTTAAAAAGGCCTAAAAAACATGTGGTCTTTAGCACTAGCATTCAGGAAGCAACAGAAAACTCATTTATCTCCATTACATCCCATCCTTATCCCATTTTCTCCTCCTGCTTGTCTTCTTTCTACAACCCCCCTCCCTCTCTCCTGCCATCTAACCTCATGATAATGTGACATTTGTAATGCAATTTGGGATGCTTCAGACTCCATGTTTCTCTTTTTGTTCACATTCAACTCAGATTTGTAGGTTTTAATAATCATGTCCAAGCCAGTTTCAATTTTTTAAATCTTTTTTGTAATTACAATTCAAGCTATATCTTTTTATTTTCTCATAGAAACATGCTAAACATCCGCTTTTACATTGAGGTAAGACAAACTGAGTGAAGGAAAGGGAGAGGGTGAGACGAAAAGAAACAGAGCAGTGAGAGGTGGGGGGGTTGCGTTTTGTGTGTGATAAACATGAATCTATTCGTATTATGCTTCTTAAGGCAGCTATGTTAACATATTACACTACATGCACGTACAGTACTTCATCCACAAGGGACTTCAGCTGTGTCCTTAACCTGTTAGTCATGTTAATGTGTGTGTGTGTGTGTGTGTGTGTGTGTGTGTGTGTGTGTGTGTGTGTGTGTGTGTGTGTGTGTGTGTGTGTGTGTGTGTGTGTGTGTGTGTGTGTGTGTGCCTGTGTTTGAGAGAGTGTGTGTGTGTAGGTTGAAGGGATAAAGGTCATGGCGTTCCCAGCATTAGCAAA